TAGTTATTGAACTGTGCACATCGAAACTTCTCATGACAGTGTTGAACAAATTCTTTTGCAATTCTTTTCTTGAGGTCTTGCAGTGATGACAACATTTTTTTTTCCTTTCACTAGTGTGTATAAAGAGCATACTGAAGAGTTTGCTTGCTGAGTTATAGTTAGAAATTTTTTGCCGAAAAATAATATGAGTAAAAGCAAATAATGGTAGCAGGTTGCCTAACATTTATATATCTCTGTGGACAGATTATGTCTGCCGATATATACCATTATTCATCAGGGTTTTTATTTTTTGTACTCCAGAGTGTGCTAAAAAGAGACCTACTGTAGGTGTGCAGCATGTTGACAGCTTTTCCAGGTCTTCATAGCACTTGAAAAAAAATGTTTAGGTATATGTTTTGGGGTGGGTTTTTTTGCATTCGATATGTGCTGTATCATAGTCTGAACAATGGAATGGTTAATATTTTTGATGGCTATTGGAAACTGACATGAGAGACTTCTGAGCTTTTTATTGAGATTTGCAGGTATTACGGCTAAAAGAAGAAACAGCATCTCATTCATTGTAGGACTATTTTTCTTGTCTTCCGTGGAGTCTGGAAAACTTCTATAAAACTTTAAAAACTGATTTGGAAAGTCAGAAGGCAGAAAATAAAGTATATTTTCTGTCATAAGCTGGTGGCTTAAGACCTCACCTATTGGTGCAGTGTAGTTGCTGAGGGTAAGGAAGCTTTCTGTCAGCAAGAGGATTTTTTGACACCTAAATAGTCCAATTGAGATCATAGCCTTTGGACTGATAGCTGTGACTGTGTTGTGAGTGGCAAAGCTGATTAGATTCATAAACATAAATGTAAAAGCTGCCAAGACTACAAAATACTATATGAGGCTATGGTATAAAAGGAACATGTAAGAACGCAGAAATGGCAAAACTTCATAGGCTGGAAGGAGAACATTTCTTTATGTTATTTTACATTATCTTGCAATCCCTTAGCTATTCTGAAAAAAATTTATATACTTTCTATTTGCTAAAACTTAGCTTCCCCTCCTTTGTGCCTCATGTCTGATTTTGGTCCATCAAGACTAAGAGGAAAGGTCCTAATGCTCAGGGTCCAGAATAGAGATGTGTAGTAGGAAAGGTGATTAAGAACTGAAGTTCAACATCAAGCTTTGTAAGAATAAACACTTCAATATTTTTATTTGTTCCTTTCTGTCTCATGGGATAGATCCTATCCTACTAGGAAAAACGTCAGTATAGGGCCAGGATTTCAGGTGATGTTACATTGAGTAAACTGGCTTTAGTAGAATTGCACTTTCTTGTACCAAATGAAAAGAGGTACAATGATGTACTTTTTTTTTTTTTTTTTAAAAAAAACTGCAGTATTTTCCTAAATCATGAAGAAATTTGAAGTGGGCAACTAAACTTCATGTCTTGGTGAAGTATTTGATGATGTGTAAAGCACACCGAATTTTAAACTGTTACAATATTTTAAAATGTAATTCATTCTTAAAAGGCTTCTGACAAGGACGGTATTTTAGTGGTTTGTTGTTTTGTTTTTTTTTTTCCCTTCCACTTAATTTTGTGATGCTGTGAAAGCCTCCTTCTTCCTGTTTAAAACCAAATTGAGAGTGAAGGTATTATCCCCCAGGTCTATGGCCTGGATGAAGAGTGAGCCAGTGAAAGTAGGAAGCTCAGATTTGTTTCAAATGTAAATGAATGCTGAGAGATAACTTTTTTTTTTTTTTTTCTCTGAAGTCTTACCTTTTTTTAAAATCATGTAATTGTTGCCCTGGGAGGTGATTTGGAAAGCAGTTCTAAATCTCCTTCCAGCAATATTGACAGTGCAATGTACATTTGTTGTTGCTTACTGTGGAATCGAGCTGTAAGTTCTTTACTGGGCAATACATTGCCTGCCTCAGGCACTTAAAAACCATGACCCAGGAACCATGGGTTGCCATGGGCACAATGGAAAAAAATACTGACAACGTGTGTTTGGTTTATTTACCTGCTGCTTTTCACCGTTCACAGAAAGCAGAAGTTGTAGAAGCTAATGGGAAGTGCGGGTGCTGATCAATAAGCATGTAATGGGGATTTAAAGGAGAACATTAATATCACCAGACCTGCTGTGGAAGCATAAGAGCTGTTGTGTATTGATGTGGGGGAGCATTAGGGATGGAGCTAGAGGAGGATCAGCATGGGCTGTTCCCAGTGTAAATGGTTTTACCCTGGTGTTTGTGCATGTTTGCAGCTCTGTCAAGTAGGTCACTGCAGTGGAAAATGTACATGTCACCGAGCTGGGGAGATGGATGGATTTGCTAAATTTGTTCTCATTACCCACCACTTAGCCATGGTTTGGCAGGCTCATGGTTATACGTTTAAGCAAACGTGGAAAGTGACACAGGGACAGGGCACATTTTCTCATCTGAACTCTGAGTAAACTTTGCAAGCAAGCTGAAATAAGAACTGTTAAATATATCATGAAATGATTAAGCATTAGATTTTAATTTAGGAAAAATACATTATTAACACACTCCCATAGAGACCATATATACACAAAGTGATAGGCTATCCTAAAAATGAAGTTTGTCGTGCAGTTTTGATCATCTCACATGTAATCTCTTCAGTGTCTTACTAAACATTTCAAATCTCTGAACAGATGAAAACTTTCAGAAATATTTAATCTTTTCCCAAGATACTTGCACTAATGTGGACTTCCAAAACCTGTAGGACAGGCAGAATTTGGGCTTAGATAACTTATGGAGTTAATTTTCAGAATTGCTACTTTATACCATGCCATATCAGGATTAACTATTACATCGATTAATAGATAAGGGAGAAGATTTCCCTAGCTCAGGCAATCCAACAGTGGATTCTAATGCTGAGAAAGATTCAAGGCGTATCACTAGCAAGGATATTTTTATGACCGTTGAACTCTTAGCTCATGTTTTCAGGTGTCTGCTGGTTGTGCTGATTGTTTTCTCTTCCTCAGCCTTCATGGTAGTTAAAATACCTGGCATTTTGCCTGAGAAGTTGATTCCAATATTTCATTTTAAAAAATGAATTTGGATTAGTGTTGTGTAAGTGAACATCACCATGTAAGAGGACAGAGAGATGCCTATGCAATGTGAAAGCTGTGTCTTTGTGTCTTTATTGATGAACCAAGGTCCTATCTACATGAGGACTTTAAAAATAATATTTTTAAAATTCCCATAGTACTCAACTATATGGGTAGATAATCTTTTCATTCACATTAAAGTAGTTATTGATTTATTACCTTGTAAACTGCCAGAGAACACAGTGAATGAGAAGCGTAGCTGCTCATTATTTTGGTTTAAAGTTCAGCTGCCTTGAGACCTTAAACAAATAATTTTCTTCTTAATCCTTTACCTTGATTTTATATGCTATGGTTTAGAC